AAAAGTGCAAAACCCACACATAATCCCTCAATTCCTAAAACACTATGCTCCTTGTCTATAATTACAACTTAAAAAATTGAAGTTTTGTCACCAAGAATGACATAGCTTCACTTGGCAGAGTTGCGGAAGTAGAAAAGGCAATTTGCCCATCAGGAAGCTGGACAAGAGCCATTCTGCACTTAGCACATGACTTAAGACAGCCAAAGGTTGAAATAGCCTTCCAGGGGCAGTTCTATCTGAGAGCTTTGCACTCTCCATGCTCCCTCTCACTATGCCACTTCTTAAGCCTTTATGAGGAAATGCGTTGTTTGGATCTGGTGGTGCTGTCTTTCTGGCATATAGGCATTTCTTTACAACAGTAGCATCCTAAGTGCTATTTAGAGCAGGTTTCTCACAATACATACATTTTCTCACAATAATTACATTTTCTTTTTCCTTTTATAAGTTTTCAAAAATTCATTTAGAATCTATCTCAGAATTCCTGTTGCTGCTGAAAACACTGTCCCAACAAAGCAAAAGGACTTTTTCTGACATAGAAATTCCATGTTCTGTTGCACATTTCTAGTTGTTTTGTATTCTCTGAAATTATACAGAGGAGCATCTAAACAACAAGTCAGTAAAGCAGTAGATCAGTAGGCTCCTTTATAAATTTTCATTTCACGTCCTAAGATAGTTAAGGTCTTTAATAGTTTCCTTACAGTTTTTTCCAATCCCATTTTCTACTAAAATTTTGTACTTTTGTCCAAGTTTTCAATAACCTGGAAAGCTTTCGCAACTTGTTTAACAACCTGTTTTCATTCCACTCATTAAACCTCTTCTTGCCACATCACATCCTGTTTGCAATGGGTAGTGAATAATAAGACTTGCTCAGAGCTAGTTCATGGTACTGCCAAACACAAGAGAAGAAAATGTCGTTGGAGTGTCTAAGACAGTTTGTCCTGTTTGGACCTACAGAAAGAGGAAAATATCTACCAAACTGTAGAGAGATACACAATTCTGTTATTACACCCTGAATCACCAATAAAAGATAAGAAAGGGATCAGTGTGGCTAATATCACATATATGTCAATTTTATCTGACCTAAAACATAAATGCCACCCGTCTACATGACCCTTCTGCAGTATGAACCAGAAAGAACAGTTTTACCAGAGATAGTGACTAGGCAAGAGCCCTACTGGCTCTTTATTCAATCCATTGCCCATTATGTGAAAAAAGACATCACCTTTTAGGTCAATTTAAAGAAAAAAACAACTATACAACATACGTGTGCTCATCTAATAAGTGCAACACTCACCAATAGCATACAATTCAAGTTCTGTGTTTAATAGTCTCATAGATGTGTACAAATAATTTCACGTAATAGCACACATACCCACTGCTTAATATTAGAATTTTGTTAATATATTTTAGAGCTTAGTTTTATCGGGAATCAGTTTGCTTGTTTTTCATGGAAAAGTCTTGGTCAAATTAAGAAGTGAACTTTTGTAATACAATTTTTTTATGTTTTATGCTGAGAAACAGCACATGAAATTTCTACAGAAAAGGTTGTTGAAGAATTGTATTGCCCTACATTTAAAAAAAAAAAAAAAGGCAGGGGGAGAGGGAAGGAAAGTTTTCCAAGTGGAACAATGCAATTGTACTCAGAGAAGTCCTTAAATCTGATATCTGAGAGGAAAATGAGGGAAATCTTTGTAAAAGCACAGTTTTCCAGTAACAGGCTGGGGTTTTTTTGTGATAATTAGATGGCAACAAAGGAAGGTAACAAGTCTTCTCTTCTACCAGAAGAGGACGTTCTACCTTTATTTGAGTACTTGCTCTGTGGTAGAGGTCAGTTTTGTGACAAACGGCATGGGATGATGCATACATACACCCAGGACCACAGGATGGTGTTCGAGGCTTTTTCTGCTCCCTTGAATGTTAGATTGGGGATTGCCAGGATAGGCCTTTACATTTTCCTTTGTTCAAAATCCAGATCCCTTCCAAAGAATCAGTTTTGGAATCAGCCAAATCAGGTTTGGAATCAGCCAGGAGTCCTATCCACATCCTTGAAAAACTTTATTGCAAAGTATTCTCTCTATCAAAGAGAGGGTTCTGAGCTGGTCCATTCTTGATAAAAGAAACCTCTCTTCTGTTGAGAGGTAGTACAGTGAAGGGAAAGGAATAAACGGAAATAAATTATACTAGTAGAGTGAATACTGACATCACAAAATAAATATTCCCCATAGGTATATGTATGTATGTATGTGTGTATATATGTGTGTGTGTGTGTGTGTGTGTGTGTGTTAATAGCATATGTTAACATAAGGTTACACTTGCAGATTATTTTCCTTCCTTCTCATTATTTTGCTGCAATTTTCTTCAGAAGCCAGCCACTTAATATTTTGGATTATGGAGTCTGCTGTAGCTATAGCTATATTAGAAGTAGGACATAGAACACAGAAATATATTTTGTGTAAATTGAGAGCCAAAGTTGAATTTTATGAAAGTTTGAGATGTTAGTATAAGCAGGGTTTTTAAAAATGTTTTATTATTCTAAGATCAAGGCCATCTCCAAAGATTAGATTCACATCCAAAACCCTGTATTAAAATGCATACACTTCTCAGTAGTAAGAAGTTTTAAAACCTGTCAGACTAAAAACAACACTCTTATTGTGTGCTGCCTGACAGTTCAGTTACAGATCGACCCTATTGGTTTTTTAGTAATTTAAATATGATTTTTGACAAAGCAGATAGGGATGGAGGCATTCATAAAGGGAGACACACAGTGAGAAAGTAGAAAGCATTTCTGATTATACAATATATGCCTGACATGTTCTTACTCACACAACCAATATTCAGCATATTAAAAAACAAACAAACAAAAAAAAAGGAAAACAACAAAAGAAACAGCAGCTGTTTCTATGTGATGTCAGAGAACAGGTGTGATACAAATCTCCACACCAGCGCAATCGTATTGATCTCCTGATGATGCACGCATGAAGCACATGTGCAAACCTTATCGACCCGTCCAGCATTTCATTTCCAGGAACATGGCCTGAAAACGCCTCTCTATAATTGAAAACACTAGCAGGATAAACCGTAATTGGCCGTGTTGGCCAGTTACTAAAAACATACACAAACTGAGCACGGGAAGGTGAGCCTGACCCCTCAGCACTCCTGGCACCGCAGGGGAACAGCCACCTGCGCGCCCCGTTCTGCCAACGGGATCCCCCCGGGTGCCTCCCAGGACATCCCCTGGACACCCCTGGGCTCCGACGCTGCCCCGGGCTGTGCAGCGGCGGTGGACGGAGCTCCGCGGGGCCGGTCGTGGCGGGACCACGAGAGGGGCGCCCGGGAGGGGGCGGCGAAGGCAGACGGCCCCCGCGCCCCCTGCCTCGGCGAGCCCCGGCCGCCGCTGACCCCCGCACTCGCCGAGCGTGCCCGCGGTGAGGGTCGGGGGCCACATAGCCCTGGTGTTATCCTTGCTGCCGGATCGCGTCCCCTGCGTGGGCAGAGGCGGTCGGGGTCCAGGGCGCCTCCCGCGTGCGCGCGCCGCCGTTAGAGGGCACTACGCGCTCCCGCATGAGCGCGGCCCCGCAGCCGTCAGGGAGAGGCGGGGGGGGCAGGGGAGAGTGGCACCAATTTGGGAAGAGATTAAAAAGGATGTGGAGTCCTGGAGCTTCAGAAGTGCTCAAAATGCCCGGGATGCTCAGGACCAGGATCATAATAATAATAACAAAAAAAAAAAATATGCAGCGAGATCAATCATTTACCAGTCTGCTCCTTAATGCGTGTGACCGCAGGTGGTACCGAGGGACATTGTGATTCATGCCCACTTTCAAAGCGGGACCAGGGCCCGGCCTGAGGCACCCAAACAACTGTCTTCTAATATTAGCACGGCTGTATTTCTGGATCTATTATAGTCTGTCCAGACAGATCCCATTGTAATGGGATCTTTTATTAAAAGATTAGCACTATCTCCTGCAGTTGGTGGAAAAAAATCTGTTATCACTGAGTTATTTGCAGTTGTGGGGAGAGGGCGGTCGGGAGGGGGTGGCGGGGGGCGGGAGCGGGAGGAGGGGTGTGAGGAGGGCCGGGCGGAGGACGCGGGCGGCCGCGGCGCACCGGCCCCTGACCCGGCACTGTCCGGGCATTCCTGTCTGCATACTTCGCAGTCTGTTGTGCTTTGGTGGCTCAGAAAAGCGAAAGAATCGAAATTTAAAAGGCAGCTTTTGAATAAACAATACCATTTTCCGTTAAGTAATCGTTTTGTATAAAAGGAAATATCGCCTACTCAGTTTCATTCAGCGGTGCCAAAAAATGTTATAAATGAGAGACCGCCAACTTTTCTAAGGAGAGAATAATGCCAGACTGTGCTTAATAAACTAGTGCCCCAGAAGTTCATTATCGATGTTGCAATCTTTTCTGATTCTGAAAGGAGACCGCCTACGTCGCCCCCGTTCTCGTCTCGTCCTCCTGGGCTCTCCCAGTGCAAAGCCTGTCAGTCGGGCACGGCCCTAGGTATTAAAGTTTTAGTCGGTTCTGTCTTTTGGTTTTGTTGGGGGTTTTTTGTTGGGTTTTTTTTTTTTTTTTTTTCAGGTTTGGAGTTGGTCGGTCGGAGTTTAGGGTTTCTTTGGGCCGAGCGAGCAGTCCGCCTGCCAACCGCCTTCCTCCCGCCGGACGCGCGGGGAGCGGGATGGATCCTCCACGGCCACTCCGCGCCCGCGGAGCCCACTCCGGGAGAGCAGGAGCAGCTCCGCGCTCCGGTAACACCCCGGACCCGTCGAGGGGGAACCAGGGGCCTCCCTCGGGCGGCCGCGACCCCCGCGGGGTCTCCAGCCCGCCCCCCCACCCGGCGCTGGCGCGGCCGTGCGCGGCGCCGCCTCTCGCCGCTGTCCCCGCCGGTGACTCTGCGGCGCGGGGCTCCGCGGGTGCGCGCCTGTGTGTTCGTGCACCTAGAGCGGATAATTGGAGAGGGTTTCCAGAAGGTGGAAAATGTCACCTGATTCACACTGAACTTTTTAAATCTCCCCACCCCCGAGGAGACACACACACACATTAGGAGACCGCCCACCGCAGACAGCTAGGACCCCCGTATAGATTTAAAGAGAGACTGCATTCAGAGCCTGACGTTCATTCAATAGAGCGATCATAAGCAGGCTGGCTAGTGCTCGCTCCCTCTATACTCCCCCTCACGCTCTCTCTGCGTCTCGCTCACTCGCTGCTATACTGAGGATGTTAAATCAGAGAATCCACCCCGGCATGCTCTTACTTCTGATGTTTCTGTGCCACTTCATGGAAGATCACACAGTGCAGGGTAAGACCAGATTGTTTATTCGCAGATATGTTTCTTTATTATTACTATTGTTCTCTCTCTTTCGGGCACGGTTTAGTTTGCTTGCGGTGTTAAACGCCTCTCTCCAAGGTCCAACAGAACAGAAGTTAACTGTGGGCATGTGATTGCTTTATACTGAGGTGCAGAGGTGTCATTTAGATCCCTTTTTAATCGGATCTTCGCACTGCTCTGCACAGGCACAGAGGACAGATAGGACGTTTCTTGGTATTTATTGTTATTATGCAGCATTAATGAAGAGCAGCATCGATAGGGAACTTTCTTTCCTAGTCTCGGCTCCCGAATGACTGCTCAAAGTTTGCTGGTAATTTAGCTCAGATTTTTATCTCGTCTGACTGACTGACTGACTGACTGACTGAAGGAAAGGTGGTGATGGAGAACCCCACGATTACAGCTGACATTTTTAGAAACCAATAAGTGGTCATTTTACTGACATTCCTTTAATACTGGGATTTCCTCCTCCTCCCTACTTCGTGTGTGTGTGTGTGAATAAATATTAGCGTTGTAAATTCTCCTGCACTGAAGAGAGTGCTTTAATAAGTTGTTGGTTTATTTTTTTCTTCACCGTACGAACAAAACAAACTCGAACCTGATATTGACAACTCTTAAGAGCCCTCTTTCGACACAAGGGAATATTGATTTTCAGTTTTGGGGCTTTTTCCCTTATCTTGACCATGTTCCAACCACAACCTGGATGCCTTACCGTTGTTTGTTTTATATTGTTTTCCTTTTATTTTTTATCTCCTCCTCTACCGATATAGAGCATAAATTAATCTAATGTAGGCAACTCTGAGACACGAAATATTTTTTTTAAGGGCGTTGTTTGTTCGATGATTTTTAGCGAGGGGGGAGTCTTTCACCGCGCCCAGAGACATCTCGGCTGGTCGATCCTGACCCCTCTCTGCGGTACATTCCTATTGGAGTAAGGAGACAGGATCGAGCCCTGGCTAGATTAGCAGCAGAATCAATTGGTATTGAGTTGCTGGAGAAGTCACATTGGCTATTCACGAGAGACTCATCCCAACCAAAATGCTCCAGCTAAAAAAAAGGGAGTTACTTGGACTAATATTCTTGGCTTGACTCCACAAATAACAAGGATACTGGGGGGGGGGGGGGAGGGGGGGGAGGGAGAAAAAGAAAAAGGAAAAAAATAACCGCAACAAAAGCCACTCTATCCCGTGTAAAGATAGTGTACTTTCCTCTAAAATGTTTGCAGGAGAGGTGGTATTTATAACTTTTCCAGCTTGATCGATTTTTAAAACTCTGTAGGGACCTCCTACTCAAAGTGACCTTGTATTTTATGTACTTTGCTCACCTTTTTTTTTTTTTTTGGAACTCTGATGACTTATTTTAGTGAAGGGAAGACATTTGTTAATAGAAGCAGCAAAATGTGGGGATTTCGAAAGACTTCTCTAACAGCAAATGTTCCCAGTTCGTGCAGATTGCAAAATGGGCTGGGACTTGAAACTGTGCGGCAGTAAAACAATGCTGCTGTGCAGCCGCGGTGAGGAGGAGAGGGCAGGGGGAGGAGGAAGGAATTTGCAAGCGCGATTTTCTTTTTATTCCCTTTTAAATGCACATCCTTTTCAAGCCTCTGTCACGTGTCGACAGTGCTCCTTCTGCTCTACATATGGAATAAATATCTCGGAAAACTGTCTCGTCCTGTCTTGGTTGGGTCTTTTCTTTCTTTTAGTTTGTTTTGTTTAGGGTTCGGGGGAGGGGGGGTTGTGTGTGTGTTGGGGGTATTTTTTTTGTTTGTTTGTTTGTTCTCTTGTGGGTTTGGGGTAATTTTTTTGTTTGGTTGTTTGAGGTTTTTTGGGGGGAAGGGGAGAGGGAGCATCTGTTTATTTGTTTTTTAAACTGCTCTTCCAAATGGGCCGTAGTAGCTGCGGGTTATGAACCGGACAAATAAAAGGAAACAGTCTAGTAAAAGTCACGGCAAGGCGCACGTGCTATGTCTGGGTCACTGGTGACCGCCACTGATCCGTCTGGGTGTCCCTCCTGCCCCCCGCCCTGCAGCTGGGAACTGCTGGCTCCGGCAGGCGCGGAACGGGCGCTGCCAGGTCCTCTACAAAACCGACCTCAGCAAAGAGGAGTGCTGCAAGAGCGGCCGCCTGACCACGTCCTGGACGGCGGAGGACGTCAACGACAACACGCTTTTTAAGTGGATGATTTTTAATGGGGGAGCCCCAAACTGCATCCCGTGCAAAGGTAAGGGGGTGCTGGCGAGCTGCTCCGAGCTGAGGAGCGGCTCACGCAGGGGCTGGGCTGGGGGGAGGAGGAGCGGGGAGAGAACTGGGAGGGAGGGCAGCGCGGTCCTCCCGCTTTCTTCCTCAGTAGGGCTTTGAGGGGCGTCTCGTACCAGCCTCGGAATCGGGAAGGGGACTCCCATTTCTGCCCGTCCGCCCTGCATATCGTGAGGAGGAGAGAGCGACTTCTTCTTCCCCCTGCCCTCACTGGAGAGGGGATTTAGCTCGAGTAGTGTTTTCTGGATGGGGGTGGGGAAAGGTGTTCTCCCTCTGTGCTCTGGGTTCACGCTGTCTTTTTTTTCTTTAAGCAGTTTTGACACCAGGTCTGTTCTGCACACTAGGTACTAAAGTGGTGCCTCTTTCCTTCCATCAGAAACATGCGAAAATGTGGACTGTGGACCCGGGAAGAAATGTAAAATGAATAAGAAGAACAAACCTCGGTGTGTTTGTGCTCCGGATTGCTCTAATATCACTTGGAAGGGCCCCGTGTGTGGCTTAGATGGGAAAACCTACAGGAACGAGTGTGCCCTTCTCAAAGCCAGATGTAAAGAACAGCCCGAACTTGAAGTCCAGTATCAGGGCAAATGCAAAAGTAGGTTTGCAAATCTAATCCAATCTCCCTCAAATGCCAAAGGGTGTGTATCTGAGTGTAGGATGGAGGACTTGTTGGATGTATTTCCCCACAGGAACCAGAGTGATGTTCCGAAGGTTAGGAGACGGTAACTAGACCGTGCTCAACATGGTCTAGACAAGGATGTAATGAATTGAGAGTTCCTCATAGTCTGCCAGCATTTGTGTCCCACCAGCTACCCAGAGATGGGAAGGCTTCCTCCAGCGGCCCTTAAATGAGAGCTGCTAAAGGCTTTTATCTGATCATTTGTTTTGTTGCATCACCTGTTTACTCCTCATTGGGACTATGGTATCTTTTACTAATCATTGCGTGTTTCTGTCTGCATTTCAGAGACCTGCAGGGATGTCTTGTGCCCAGGCAGCTCCACGTGTGTGGTTGACCAAACCAACAACGCCTACTGTGTGACATGTAATCGAATTTGTCCAGAGCCTACCTCCCCTGAACAGTATCTCTGTGGGAATGATGGCATAACTTACGCCAGTGCCTGCCACCTGAGAAAAGCCACCTGCTTGCTGGGCAGATCCATCGGATTAGCCTACGAAGGAAAATGCATCAGTACGTATCTTAGTAGGAGGGTAAGGATGGGGGAAACTTCCTCAGTCACCTATTTCAGAGCATTCAGTGTGTGCAACTGGATGGATGTAGTTATTGTTGGTGAGGAAGAGAGACTTCCAGCAACCTGGGTTAGTACTACCCTCTAGAAAGAAGAGAGACAGGGTGAACTTTTTCCTGGAAAAGATAGCAAAAAAGATGAGGGAGAAGAGGGCCTGATCCTGCTCTGGCTATGGGTGCTGACATTAGTATCCAAGGGAGAAGCAGCTGCCATGAAATAGATGATGACATGGTTATATAACAAGGTCTCGGTATCCAGTGGGTCTGGATTCCTGGAAACAATTGTCTTCAAGTGGTCTTGGCAAAGATTATGTTAATTTAATTGGAAACATCTGATCACTTTTTCCTCTTTAGAAATAATTGTGGAGTTCAGAGGCGGTTGGTGGGTGAAGATAGGAAAATAATCTCTGTGCAGCCTGCCATTCTGTGTTGTGATTTCCAGAAATGACTGATATTCAGCATGTTACAATGAAGCACCTGCAGGGCAGCCTCTGCTCCCCAAAACTGCTGGGGTAATTCACGGGAGCCTCAGGTTGCTTTTAGTTGGCATAGGTTGAGGTGAATTCCCTTTCAAATCTTGTAGACAACTATTCTCTGTGGGTTAGTTTAAAAGTAATAGATTTAGAAATGCTGGACCTGTTGACAAATCCTGAATTTACTGTTAATTTGGGGAGCTGAATTTCCACTGACATCAAATGGAGGAGGAAAGTCATGTACAATAGGCAAATGTAATTCTGTATTCCCAGGGCAAAACTTTGCTGGCACAGCTGTCTTCCTCCCCCATACATAGACAGGTAATGTCGTCCAAGGGAATACTTGCTTGAGCAAAATCAGCAAGTATCATCACATGTACTACATCTGAGCTTTGTTTCTTCACAGTTCACAGGGGAAAGGGGGTTTTTGGGGTTGCTGGTCATTGTTTTTCTTTTTGCTTTGTCTTTTCACTTACCCCTAGTATCCTGTGTGTATTTTTTAGAAGCCAAATCCTGTGAAGACATTCAGTGCACTGCTGGGAAGAAATGCCTGTGGGATTTTAAGGTTGGTAGAGGTCGGTGCGCTCTCTGCGATGAGCTCTGCCCTGAAAGCAAGTCAGAAGAGGCAGTCTGTGCCAGTGATAACACAACTTACCCAAGCGAGTGTGCCATGAAAGAGGCAGCCTGCTCAATGGGTGTGCTTCTAGAAGTAAAGCACTCTGGATCTTGCAACTGTAAGTGAGATTTTTAACTCTGCAGACACTTAAAGCTTCTGAAGGCGATACCTAGGTAATGAAGACTTACACCTTTAAACATAAGAAAGCTTGATTTATTGATTCAAGGTACAGTAGAGTATAAGTATCTATCTATCACGCACACATTTTTGTTGCTGATAAAATGCAATAGATCTCCAACAACGAGCTGGCCTTCAAGTTGGAGTTTTGGGGATGTTCCAAGGACAAGCCATTCTATCAGAAAGGTGTTGCCCGAGGATTGTAATTCTAGTGACTTTTTCGTACTTTGTCTGCTCTCGTGTGCTTTGCTGATTGCTTTATTAACATCTGGATAAACTCTTAACTCGGTCCAAAAGAACAAGCTTAAAGGTAGCACAGGGGCATCTGGTTTAGCACGGTTGCCTCTACTAACTCTGAATGAAGGACACAAAGCAATTAAACCTAGAACACCTGAGCGCTCTGTATTTGATTTCAGGAATCTGCCAATAAAACCTGAGCCATTGATTCTTCAGAACTTTCTGCAGTTATGACTTCATAGATTACATATAAAAAACCTTATTTCATAACAGCAGATGCCAAAGAGCATCTCACTACAAGTCGCATAAAATGCAACGCTGTATTATGGCTGTTCAGAGGGCTTTGAAAACATGCACTGAGCTGCTTCTGCGCTGTTGTTGTCCTTATTTAAACAACAGCTCCCCTATATTCCCCATCTAGCCATTAATGAAGACCCAGAAGATGAAGAGGAAGATGAAGACCAGGACTACAGCTTTCCTATATCTTCCATTCTAGAGTGGTAAAACCTCCATCACTATTGAAACAGCCATTGGGCACAAAAATCAATGTCCATACTGTAAATAAGTGTATGCTTATTTATTTTGGGGAGAAAAAAAAAAGTATACATATAGTTGAGTCTCGTAGACATTTATTTATACTGTGTCATGTTTTATAATTTATACATAAAATGTCTGGTTGACTGTACACCTTGTTTTTTGAAGAAATTTATTCGTTATGGGAAGAGCAGTGTTATTTATTGTGAGGTCTCTTGCTTGTAAATTAAAGCTTTTCTTTTTTCTTGTAAACTATAACTATTCCTTAGAGTCTACCCACATAATCTCATCTCTTTGTTTCACTGATGTTAACTTCCACTTTAACAAACTTGCATGTCAGTTTCTGTTATGTTTATTTATTGGATTTTCTTCTTGCCGGTTCTGTACATTAAAGATCCCTGTGTTCTTGTTTACAAGGAATCTTGACTGACCAAAAGGCATTGTAACTGACTTAAGTATACTTTTCAGGGTGCGGTGGGGTGATTTTTAAGGAAACTTCTTCCCCTTAATTTTTCTCTACTTCTGATCACATATACTGAAGTGATCTCAATGTATTGAGAGTTTATACTGTGCTATACAAATTCTATATCTGAAGATCTTGGATTATGAAAGTCGATAACAGCTACAGGAATAACTGTAATAAGAATAAGGGGGTTATTTTATTTTTACTGGTTGTTTTGGGGGAGGGGTTTGTAACATGCATAAGTGTTTTATCAGGTGTTTCCTTTAAGATGGTCTTGCAGTACCACTTTCAAAGTTTTCTTTTCCCAATCGGTGTGTTGCTAAAAGTTATATCAAAGCTTTATCAGTTCAAGTTTCTTGCTTTTCATAATACTTTTTTTCTGATGCAATTTTATATTTTCAAACATGGTGAGTTAAATATAAATTCATTTAAATATATAGTTTTGTACTTTTCTACCATGTAAATGTGCAATGTATATAAAAGTTATAATGTGTATTTGTAAATAAATGATGAGTGAAAAAATAAAAAGTGGAATTTTCCCTATGTGCAGTCCTCAGTCTTTCACTCTAAAGGGTTCTGTCCTCCAGAGTCTTGTGCACCATGCAACAAGTGTTAAGGTGACAGCTCTTGGCTCACACTGATATAAGAAACCCTTTTTTCAGATAGGAACAATGTCTCCAGTTCATTACTATTTAAAGTCTAAGTACAATGATAGAGTAGAAGAGATTTGTCATTTTTGTTCTCTCAATCCTCCACATAAAAAGTCTGTCATTTCATAGAATCACAGAATGGTTTGGATTAGAAGGGACCTTACAGACCATCTAGTTCCAACCCTCCTGCCACGGACAGTCTACATTCCAGTAGACCAGTTTGCTCAAAGCTCCATCCAGCCTGTCCTTGAGCACTTCCAAGGATGGGTCATCCACAACCTCTTCAGGCACTTTCATAGAATCATAGAACGGTTTGGGTTAGAAGGAACCATAAAGATTATCTTGTTCAATCCCCCTGCCATGGGCAGGAGCACGTTTCACTAGACCAGGTTGCTCAGAGCCTCATCCAGCTTGGCCTTGAACAGTTCCAGAGGTAGGGCTTGCACAACTTGTCCAGGCAACACCTTACCATGCCTTACCACCCTTACAGTAAAGAGTCTCTTCTATACATTTAATATAAATTTCCCCTCTTTCAGTTTGTACCCATTACTCCTTGTCCAATCAATACAGTTCCTGATTTAGAGTCCCTCTCTGGCTTTCCTGTAGGCCCCCTTCAGATTGCACTGGAAGGTGCAATGAGGTCTCCACATAACCTCTTCTCCAGGCTGAACAGCCCCAACTTTCTTGGCCTGTCTTCATAGGGGAGGGGTTCCAGTCCTCTTATCAATGACATTGGCCCTCCTCTGGACTTGTTCCAGCAGTTCCATGTCCTTCTCATGTTGGAGTCACCAGAGCTGGATGCAGCAATCCAGGTGGGGTCTCAGAAGAGCAGAAAAGAGGGGTAAAATCACCTCCCTTGACCTGCTGGCCATGCTGCTTTTGATGCAGCCCAGGATTTCGTTGGCTTTCTGGGCTGTGAGCACACATTGCCAGCTCATGTTGAGTTCCACATCAACCATCACCCCCAAGTCCTTCTCCACAGGGCTGCTCTCAATCATTTCTCCCCCTAACCTGTAGATGTGTCTGGGATTACCCTGACCTAGGTGCAGGACCTTGCACTGTGCTTTGTAGAACTTCATGAGGTTTGCATTGGCCCACCTCTCAAGTCCACCTCTTAAGCCACCTTTCAAGTCATGGTCCCTCTGGATGGCATCCTCTCCCTCCAGTGTGTTGATGACACACGTTTCTTGGTCCTTTTTTACTTTCACACTTCTAGGAGGTTTTGAATATGCATTTGAATTTTTGCTATACTTCAGGTCAATTTAGATGACCAATAGAAAAAGCAAAACAAGGTCTACTTGCCCAAATTCAAGATGCAGAAAAGACAAACCTAACCAAAAAAAAAAACCCCAAAAACCCAAACCAACAAACCATCTAAGAGCACACTATCACTTGGAAATTATTTGTCTCCCAAAAGGAAGTTTAATTCAGAAGTTCTTTTTGGTCAACCTATATTTAGACTGGACACACCTTAAAGACTGCCTACTAATACAATGAATTGATGAGAGGAAACCAGCATAAGTACAGCAGGAATCAAAATCCTGTTTTATGCTACCTGAGTCATGCTGTTCTCACAAATAAGGCCCCACTAAAACAACCTCTCTATCGTACTCCATAAAACTTAAAAAATACTTAAGCACTTTATTCAATGATATTTTAAGTACCTTGCTGAGCTGAGGTCTGAGAATAGTTGATTCATCCTTTAGTTTATATAAAAATCATATTTAAAGAATCTTCCTGCTGTAGTCTTCTGTATATTTCCCACTATATAGGAAACTCTAATTTGTTATGGGTTGTTTAGATTATTCAAAGTAAGCATAATTTATTCATCTCTGAATATATAAAAAATACAAGCATGCATTTATAATATTGTATTCAAAATAATAGCAAAACAATTTTGCCCTTCATCCTCCTGTTATGTCATTTAGACAAGTAGTCTCTTTGGAAGGGAGATCATGATGAGAGCAGCAGAGGGAGCAGGATTTTGATCTCCTGGGGGAAAAGAACCCAGAATAAAAGAGAACGGGGGCCAGGAGAACAAAGGTATGGAAAAAGAATCTATTGGAAAGTCTCTCAAGGAACTAATACATGACAATGACATAGAAACAACATGTTTAATAGATATGGCAAATATCAGAGAAGATTTTTCTTCAGTTTAGTGCCAGCTACTGCATTTCCAACAAAACAAAAACATTAAAATACTAGTTTTAATTGTAAATATATTTACATGTCTTACAGAGAGACTGTAGCATAGCAGGATTGCTGAGTTCTAATTTCATGCCTTGCTACTAGTTGACAAAATAACTTGAGGAAATAAATTCAAAAAAGGAACAAAAATGCCAGGAAGGTATATTTACATGAGCACACACATGTACGCTAAATGGTCACAAAAATCTACATCACGTTTTTGCTGATAAAATTATCTACCTTCTGATACTGCATCTCTCATTGCTCCTGCTATTTCTATATAGATGAAAATCTTGAAACCTACCTTGCACCAAAGCCTGCTTGTGATGTGCAGGTGTGGCATCGCCTGAGAGGCTGCTTGAAGTATCTTCTGAGCATGCCTAACATACATCATGAAGCCTCATCATGAAGCACAACAGCCCCAGAGACTTTCTCCCAGAAACATGTCCAGAGGTTGTGGATGCATAACTGCCAACATTTTACATAACATCATACTTGTAGATAAGGCACTTGCCCTTGAAGTGGGAGATATAGGTTTACTGCCAGTCTCTTTCTGAGGAGATCTTTCCCACATCTCCCAAGAATGCATCCAGCACCAACTCAAGGTGAATCTCAGGCTGGAGAACTGTCTGTCATGCCTGCTGAAACCATACTTCTGTATTGGAAGCAAGATTCATTGAGAGAGGATAATTTGCAACCCTAATAGGTGCTGCTTTTGAAGAGGAAGTCCTGGGTTATTGCCCCAGGGGCTGCCTACACATTTTGCATTTGTAATTGAGTAACATACATAAATAGTGCTTGAAGCAGGGGCCAGAATCCAGGTTGCTTCTCCTCCTCCTTCCCTCAGTAGGTAAGTGCCTCCGTCCTTGAGCTATGAAATCATGTTTAACACTCTGCTTAAATCAAGATTACAAATCGCACATATTTTTCTACATTGAGTCATAGTTACAACAGGAGTGAGAAGCTTTACTTTTTTCATCCTCTCTTCTAGTCTTGTACATGGGAAACTTCTTGGGAAGTGGAAATACAAATTTAATTCTCTCAGTCTAAAATAGGTGCTGAATCAATTTTTTCTACCTCTTGGTTTTTATTTTTTTTCTTTTGTTTTGTTTTGGGGTTTGGGTTTGTGTGTGTGTGTGTGTATTTCTTTTGTTATGTTTTGTTCTGTCTCCTCTTTTAATGCACAGACTACCCTGGATGTTGTTTAAATGAAGAAACAAAGACATATGGATGTCTAAGTACAAGAAGGTACAAGAAGCTCTGAAACCATGTGCCCAAGCTCCTAAAAGCAGAAAAGAATTACATTTCCAGAAACATCTTTATCTTCAGTGTTTTCTATTGCCTAGCATACATATTCCCCTTGCTGTAAATCACATTTCTGAAACTCCTAGCTCACCATGGAGTAGACTTTGTTACAGAATCCCAGGTCTGTGAACATTCTCAAATACAGGCTAAGTAACGTGCAGTGTGTATGTTTGAAAACAGAAACCATATTCTGGCACTAAAGTAAAATCAGCATAATTCTAAGACACTCAGCTTGAGGCATATGAACAGTAAGAATATTTCCTCTAAAGCCCTGGTTCCCAAATGTATTTGTCTCCACAACACAAGCAAATGAGTATACACAATTTTGATCACACTCAAATGCATTCCTGAGAGCTGTGTTCTTATGACAGATTTAAATACAGTATCATGGACCGCGTTTGCAAGTTTTACCTTTTTGCTTACCTTCTGCTTGCTAACACACCTCAACTAAAGCTACATTCCGAGCCTCTCAGCAAATTTCAAACAGCTGTCATTTCTTTCTTTTTCTCTTTTCCTTCTTTTTTTTTTTTTACATTAAAATATTTCTTTCTTTCTTTCCCTCCAAATGGGAATCAGGTGAAATTAAATTTCAGTATGCACTGCTGTTCTCTGGATAGTGACATCTTACTATACAATGAATCACCAGCACAGAAACATCTGTATCTTATCCCTTTGAAGAACTAGTATTGCATGCTTTCTGGTGATGCATAGCATTTGTACATAAACCAAGGCATTCACAAGGTATCAGATTTTAAATTCATAACTCTCTGAAGATAAGGCAATTACATTTTTTGTTCGATATTCCTGTAGTTCCAAGGCCTGCCTGACCCATTATGGCAGCATGAATCTGGCAGGTAGTATATGAAAAATAGTTTGCACAGTTAACTATTTTTATTTTTTTGTTCCCAATAGATATAATTATATAATAGGTCCTAGTGGCTGGATTTTGCTCACAATCATTTGGGATCATCTGTATAATTCACATTCTTTCATTACTTCTTAACAGTGTGGCCAATTAAATTATCACATAGTGAAGAAATACAACATGAAAGCAATGTGCAAGCCATAATGTTTAGTTCAGAAGAGTTAAATCCACGTTTGGCTCATTTGCCTGTAATTTACAGGTATGTTCTTTTAATTTCTTAATTTTTGAATGGATTTGTTCAAAGATTCACCATGGGATTGAAAAATCCTAATGTGTCAGAAAACTGAGAAGGAACTATGGACTTTGATAACAGATAGTCAGGTGTCCCAGATGCTACAGAATACTGAGTTTACCAAGGTGCTGAAGAGTAGATTTGAATGTGTAAAGGCCCCTTAATTTCTACCGCTGCCACTCAGTAACAGCATCTGAAACTACCAGTGCTTCAGTGAGATCACCAGATACCCAGAACTTCTCAA